GAACCGCAATCACTGTATTATCCTCTGCATTGCTATTCTACATTTGTATGCTGATTTCAATCATTCTAAAGCAAAAAATGCAATTTAATTGATCATCTTCCTAAATGTTATCGTATAACGTGTCGAGTCACCCTTATAGACAACTGAGGCGAACAGTAACAGCAACCGATATTTTCCAAAATGGGTAGCATTTTCGTCTTCAGCATGTTAGCTAACCTCAGTGCATTGATTTCCATAACCCTTCGTCGAAACGCGAATTTTGTTCAGAATCAGCAACTTAACATTTTTGATTCTTTGAAAATTTTGGATAATGTCTAAATACAGTTTAGCCACATCGAGAATTTCTTTCTTTAAAACATTGGCAAACAGAAATTTCAAACTGCATGCTAGAACTCTCCGAAGCGCTTCAGGTCCTACAAGCATTACCGTTTCGGATCTCCGCCGGTAAGCGGATCTACCTAAGAAAGTGCTATGAAGGCATTCTATGGAAAAATGGCAATATCTGGAATAGTTATAAACCCACATAACTGATTCACTCCAAAACTTCATGTAATTAGCTTTGACTTCTAATTGGATGTTTACATATTAAAAAAGATTTATTCCAAGTTTCGTATTTATCGTTAATTCAAATGACATCTCTCAATCCAATGTGAATATCAGGCTTTTCCTCCTTTGTTTTTGTTCGCTTTTCGTGCAACGCGCTGACGCATTGGCGATTTCAGTTGGCCTAAAAAATTTCCGTATCACTTTCTCGCACAATAAATACTTAAATTTATAACTTTGAGCTAACCTATAGGTGTTGGAGCCTTTATTTTGCTCTTTCCCGCTCCGTCTGCAGCAGTGCTCCTGCTGGCGTTGTTTGACGGCTTGGATCCTTTTGACTTCTCGACAATGTGATTAGTTGCCTCGTTTGCTCCATCTAAGACTCAAAGATCTCTGATACAAGACACAAAGTGTTGGGACAATTATAGAAACCCACCTGGCGAAGGCGGATATTGTTGAGGTACTGTAAGCGCAGGACCGTATTTTGCGTTCTGTGAATTATTGAGACCGGACGATGGTAGCTTTAGTTGCAGGCCTTCAGGTGTGGCTACAAGGGTCATCACTTGCGGCATCGTGTTCATTCCTGGAACGTAACGATACATTGATCACAGTACATCCGTACAAAGGAAATTTGAGGTAGAGTTCAGCCTTTTTCATGCATACCTTTGTAACCGTTGGTAAAGTATCCTACGGATGTAGGATTGTCAGAACGACAACAGAA